ATACCGGGGAAAAGTCGAAAGGTGAATAGGATTTTTAGAAGTTATACAGAATATCTTCAAGCAACATCAAAAATGTCTAAATTCTATTATCCAAGAAAATAATTCTTAAAATACACCAACTATTGTACTCAATTTTAAAAACTATTTTCAGACTTTTCCGTACTTCTTTAGTGACTTTATCTTGTAACACTACAAACGAAATAAAATCATTACCATTCCTGATATTAAATTATGTGAAAATAAGTATGTTATTTTAGAAGCAAAAGCAAATATATTACTCGACGTTGTACCTTAATATATGTAATAAACCGTAGGAGTATTAATTGAGCTTAACCTTTCAAGTAAGGATTTAAATTTGATGTGGGGACTTAAATAACAAAAATTATAACTAAACAATAGTCATAGTATATCATAATAGTCATCTCACGGGCTTGAAAGGTTAGTGAACCATGTTAAGAATACCTCAATTCCATCTTTCTCGCGTCCAATTACTTTTGACAGTTTATTTTGAATACCGAACTTTTAAATATTGAACCAGCAAATATATTCTCGGAACTATCGATTATAATTTATTTTATGAAAGGATGAAATAATTTATCACAACTTTTCAGACGCCCAAAAGGCCAAGCATTATTCTAAAAGATATTTCTATAAAATAACTGTATTTTGAATAAAATAAAATATTCCCCTAAAATTGACTACGTTTCATTATTTTTAAGATGTTTGATTATTTTCGTAACAAGACACTATACTTCTACAGCACTGGATAACATGATTTTTGCTCAACATACTTAAAAACTAAATTATCTCAAATAATGAACTATAGAGGCTTAACATGAAAAAATATAAAATTATAATTTATTAAATTAAAATAACATTTTTTGTACTGGCTCTGGGGTCTCATATAACACGACATTTTCTAGGAAGCTATCTACCGTGTTATAGGAGGGTTACCTGTACAATTGAACGTTTCAGAATGGCGATGGACGAGTGGAAGTGAAGTTAGGCTAAAACCCAGCGGGCAGTATGGACCCTGAAGACCAAACCGCGCGGAAGAGACGCATCAGACGCTGACAAGCTTGCGTGAAACATAGAACGCGCGAACGGCGAAGGAAAACGGAGGTTCGTCGAAGGGGAAGACACACCTAGACTCGTCGTTCCGAACGGTGTGACGATGCATGATTAATATCGAAATACGAATGACTTTATTCATGAGGGACCCGTCGCCTTGTTATGCAGATCGAATTTACGGTTAAATCATATGGTGCTCACCGCGCGATCCTGTTCACGTTAACGCTCTCCCGCGTCAAAATCAGGATAACGAGAACGAAACAAACGCGGAAGCAAGACGGATGCGGTCGCTTTGCGAACGCGCCTTAAACTGACTCCAACGCCTCGCTCGCGTGGCTTCTTTTATCATTATCTACGCTTGTTTCGCGATATGTAAATTCACATCGCTATTTGCGAATCTCTTTTCTGCCTAAAAAAACTATTCTCTAAAGTGGGAGTCTCTAAAATGGAGGATTAAATATCCAGAAGGGGCGCAAGGTTCATTTTTATCGTTCGAGTGTTACTTGTGTAAACAAAATATACAAAATAGAAAATATAATTAATATATATAATATAATTTTTATAACAAAGAAACCATCTTTTTTTGTAGAAAATACAAGCCTCTAATTTGATATAAAATTCTAATAAAGACTAATTATGAATGAATTAAAATAGAAAATATTACAAACATGGAACAATTTTCATGAAACTGTAATATTTCTATAATATTCTTTTATAAGAAACCATCTTTTTTGCATCAAATACTTTGCTAGCCTCTAATTTGATATAAAATTCTAATAAAGACTAATTATGAATCAATTAAAATAGAAAATATTACAAACATGGAACAATTTTCATGAAACTAATATTTCTATAATATTCTTTTATAAGAAACCATCTTTTTTGCATCAAATACTTTGCAAGCCCTTAATTTGACAAAAAATTCTAATAAAGACTAATTATGAATGAATTAAAATAGAAAATATTACAAACATGGAACAATTTTCATGAAACTGTAATATTTCTATAATATTCTTTTATAAGAAACCATCTTTTTTGCATCAAATACTTTGCAAGCCTCTAATTTGACCAAAAATTCTAATAAAGACTAATTATGAATGATTTAAAATAGAAAATATTACAAACATGGAACAATTTTCATGAAACTGTAATATTTCTATAATATTCTATTATAAGAAACCATCTTTTTTGCATCAAATACTTAGCAAGCCCTTAATTTGACAAAAAATTCTAATAAAGACTAATTATGAATGAATTAAAATAGAAAATATTACAAACATGGAACAATTTTCATGAAACTGTAATATTTCTATAATATTCTTTTATAAGAAACCATCTTTTTTGCATCAAATACTTTGCAGGACTCTAATTTGACCAAAAATTCTAATAAAGACTAATTATGAATGAATTAAAATAGAAAATATTACACATGGTGACATTTTCATGTGACTGTAATATTTCTATAATATTATTTTATAAGAAACCATCTTTTTTGCATCAAATACTTTGCAAGCCTCTAATTCGACCAAAAATTCTAATAAAGACTAATTATGAATGAATTAAAATAGAAAATATTACACATGGTCACATTTTCATGAAACTGTAATATTTCTATAATATTCTTTTATAAGAAACCATCTTTTTTGCATCAAATACTTAGCAAGCCCTTAATTTGACAAAAAATTCTAATAAAGACTAATTATGAATGAATTAAAATAGAAAATATTACAAACATGGAACAATTTTCATGAAACTGTAATATTTCTATAATATTCTTTTATAAGAAACCATCTTTTTGCATCAAATACTTTGCAAGCCCTTAATTTGACAAAAAATTCTAATAAAGACTAATTATGAATGAATTAAAATAGAAAATATTACAAACATGGAACAATTTTCATGAAACTGTAATATTTCTATAATATTCTTTTATAAGAAACCATCTTTTTTGCATCAAATACTTTGCTAGCCTCTAATTTGATATAAAATTCTAATAAAGACTAATTATGAATCAATTAAAATAGAAAATATTACAAACATGGAACAATTTTCATGAAACTAATATTTCTATAATATTCTTTTATAAGAAACCATCTTTTTTGCATCAAATACTTTGCAAGCCCTTAATTTGACAAAAAATTCTAATAAAGACTAATTATGAATGAATTAAAATAGAAAATATTACAAACATGGAACAATTTTCATGAAACTGTAATATTTCTATAATATTCTTTTATAAGAAACCATCTTTTTTGCATCAAATACTTTGCAGGACTCTAATTTGACCAATAATTCTAATAAAGACTAATTATGAATGAATTAAAATAGAAAATATTACAAACATGGAACAATTTTCATGAAACTGTAATATTTCTATAATATTCTTTTATAAGAAACCATCTTTTTTGCATCAAATACTTTGCAAGCCCTTAATTTGACAAAAAATTCTAATAAAGACTAATTATGAATGAATTAAAATAGAAAATATTACAAACATGGAACAATTTTCATGAAACTGTAATATTTCTATAATATTATTATATAAGAAACCATCTTTTTTGCATCAAATACTTTGCAGGACTCTAATTTGACCAATAATTCTAATAAAGACTAATTATGAATGAATTAAAATAGAAAATATTACACATGGAACAATTTTCATGAAACTGTAATATTTCTATAATATTCTTTTATAAGAAACCATCTTTTTTGCATCAAATACTTAGCAAGCCCTTAATTTGACAAAAAATTCTAATAAAGACTAATTATGAATGAATTAAAATAGAAAATATTACACATGGAACAATTTTCATGAAACTGTAATATTTCTATAATATTCTTTTATAAGAAACCATCTTTTTTGCATCAAATACTTTGCAAGCCTCTAATTTGACCAAAAATTCTAATAAAGACTAATTATGAATGAATTAAAATAGAAAATATTACAAACATGGAACAATTTTCATGAAACTGTAATATTTCTATAATATTCTTTTATAAGAAACCATCTTTTTTGCATCAAATACTTAGCAAGCCCTTAATTTGACAAAAAATTCTAATAAAGACTAATTATGAATGAATTAAAATAGAAAATATTACAAACATGGAACAATTTTCATGAAACTGTAATATTTCTATAATATTCTTTTATAAGAAACCATCTTTTTTGCATCAAATACTTTGCAAGCCCTTAATTTGACAAAAAATTCTAATAAAGACTAATTATGAATGAATTAAAATAGAAAATATTACAAACATGGAACAATTTTCATGAAACTGTAATATTTCTATAATATTCTTTTATAAGAAACCATCTGTTTTGCATCAAATACTTTGCAGGACTCTAATTTGACCAAAAATTCTAACAAAGACTAATTATGAATGAATTAAATGCAAAGTTTGTCTATGTTTCGAGGACTATAAAGAAATTATTTTGCTTTCGAAGTTTCAATGAAGTTTTTGTGATCGTTGAAACGATTTTCTATCAAGTGTTATTTCCTATCAAAGTGTTATAACCTATCGTATTTGCGGATGGCGTTACGCGTGGACGATTTTAACGACGCGTTACCCATAGCCGGGAGCCCGATTTTCCGCCATTGTAGACGTAATAAATCTCGCGGGGTGTTTCAATACATTAAACAGAAATTTATCATCGTCACTCGAGCGGTGTCGGTGACGCCGTGTAAAGGTACGTCAGGGACAGAAATGATAATGACTTTTCGTTCTATATTTTTCATCTTCGATCGTCGAAGAGAGATTAATGTCGCGCGTGCGCATTGTATCGTCTACCGTGATGAGACGCACCGAAGCGATTTTAATTTTTATTACACGTTCGATAAGATTGATCTGCTCGAGAAAATTCGTCGACGTATCGTCCCGGAGTTGGACGATAAAAAGTATGTTTGGATAATGATAAAGGAGAAACTCACCTTCGTGTAGTTTCTCCAATGTTCCCGCTGAAACGCCGACGAATAGGAAGACGAGCCATAGCAGACCGATCATTCTTCTCAGCCGCGTTCGATTTCTTGACGTATCCATCGTGCTGACACTTAAACACTGCAACAAAAATAGAGTATTTCATGTATTCTGCAAAGGATGTACATATTAATCTTATGCAATTGCAATTTTTTCTTTGATTTAATAATTAAAATCATGTTCCCTATTAAAACGGTTTCGAACATTCATTCGCTCAATATTAATTCAAGACTCCACGAAATATTTTAATTATTTACCAAATTTAATGAATACGTGGTAATTAATTACTACATGTATGTGCACTGTATTAATCAAAATTTTAAATTAAAAGAATATTTACATTGAAATTTTACCAATGAGATATTAAAGCTTGGTCTCTCTTTAATTAAGTCTCGTTTCGATTATTGAACCAACGCAAATAAGAAAAACAGTATTTATTTGTTGTTGGAAACAATCAAAGGCGTTAAAGGCAATAAATGAGTTTTATTATATGAATATTTGGGAGAAAGAGATGCAATAAAATAAGACAATGCACCAAGAATATAAATACACATTTTAATATTAATTGGACTATTATTCTTCGAACACAGTTCATAATTACGAAATGTGTACATTCTTCGAAAGACACTAAGGTAAACAAGTTCGAGTTAAAATTGCTATGAAATCTTAATATAAAAAACCTCCTACATCACGAAGTTAGTTAACGTGGGAATATAAAGACAAAACTTCAGTCTAGACAACAACTCCCTTAGGTATATTATAGCTAGAATGATGTCTGCTAAGTTAGACTCCCGAGACCTCTAAACTAAGACCATTTGTAGTAAATGAAACTAAAAAATCGGGATACTAATGTGTTTACTTGCAAAGTGAGAGAAATTTTTCTGCATAATACTTTTTCATATTTTTCCAGTAATAAACAAGACCAAAAAACAGGATTCAACCTATATGTATGGATGTTACAGTGAAACACCGAAATCTGGAGAATGTCGACTTTCACCGGTGAATGTCAACATTCACATAGTCGGTTAGTGTATGTCCGAAATATTTGCTAAACACCCTTATTTCTGACTTACACCGGTAAATGTTGACATTCACCATGCACTAACGGTGAGTGTTGAACATGTTGGAGATTTATATTTTCTTCTCCGTAATTCAGTCGCTATAAAACGTCACAAGGGTGACGTAACTTTTTCGCCCCTCTTTCTGAAAGGATCTAACCCAGACCTAACCCAGACCTAACCCAGACCTAACCCAGACCTAACCCAGATCTAACTCAGATCTAATCCAGACCTAACCCAGATCTAATTCAGATCTAACCCAGACCTAACCCAAACCTAAGCTAGACCTAACCCAGACCTAACCCAGACCTAACCGAGACATAATCCAGACCTAACCCAGACCTAACCCAGACCCTAGATCTGGGTTAGGTCTGGATTAGATCTGAGTTAGCTCTGGGTTAGGTCTGGATTAGATCTGAGTTAGCTCTGGGTTAGGTCTGGATTAGATCTGAGTTAGGTCTGGGTTAGGTCTGGGTTAGGTCTGGATTAGATCTGAGTTAGGTCTGGGTTAGGTCTGGATTAGATCTGAGTTAGGTCTGGGTTAGGTCTGGATTAGATCTGAGTTAGCTCTGGGTTAGGTCTGGATTAGATCTGAGTTAGGTCTGGGTTAGGTCTGGGTTAGGTCTGGATTAGATCTGAGTTAGGTCTGGGTTAGGTCTGGATTAGATCTGAGTTAGGTCTGGGCTAGGTCTGGATTAGATCTGAGTTAGCTCTGGGTTAGGTCTGGATTAGATCTGAGTTAGGTCTGGGTTAGGTCTGGATTAGATCTGAGTTAGCTCTGGGTTAGGTCTGGATTAGATCTGAGTTAGGTCTGGTTTAGGTCTGGGTTAGGTCTGGATTAGTTAATAATCCAAATTATCTTAACCCTTTGCACTCCTATGTCGAGTGTGATTCGACATCAATTTTGATCTCAGGAGCACTGTAACATATATACAGCCTGTTGGTTCTTTATTAATCTCGCTATAGAACACCTTCCAAAAACAAAGATATTAATCGTAAGAATGGAACAGATTGCTAACGTTGTCTTCGTCGTCATAGTGTCTCAGATTCGAGTGTTTGGAGACTTTTGTGACTGACTGTAGGTGGAACCGCAAGTCGTCCAACACACTGATTGCAATCCACCGGTGAATGTAACGTCTTAGTCAATAATTGGTTACCGGTGAATTACACAAAGGACGAACTCGCCGGTAGGCTGGTTCCTGATGCTTAAGTCGCATTCTCGCAATTGTGCTAACGAGCCTCACATTGCATCGTGAAGAATTAAACGGAATTTGAACACGAGATAATCAAAATTAAAATACCCCAAAAAATAAACAAATATTTCTTTTTAGCATCCCGGTGAAAATTCAGTCAAGTTAATTACAATTAAAATATTTATTTTACATTTAATTCAAACACGTTGATAGAGTTTTAATATTACAGTTTAACCTTCAGTAATAGACTGATGAACGGTTTTTTAAAAAAGACGAATCATTTGTTTTCGTAATAATATTTGTGCAGTGCCCGATACATAGTATTAAACGTGGGGAAACAAGCGACGGTGAATCTCGTTTGACAGTTTCAGACACAGATCCTGCGGACCCTTGGCCGTCTAGAATCGAGATTATAAATATTGATCCTGAGCGTCCTTCAACTTTGAGTGCACTCGAGGAGTCCCTCTTGTCCCGCATTTCTATACCCCGGCCGTCGAGGGGGATTCTTCGTGGCGAAATTGAAATCCGAGAGGTTCCTCTTGCTCGTTCCGGTAGAAAAAGAGTCAAAGTCGCCCGGGCAAATTAAAATTGTGGGGCACAGGCAATGGACAACTGCCCTTTGATGGCCGCGCCAACGGTCACGGATCATCTAGTCTCCGGAAATAAGGGAGAACGATGACGGATAGGGCGACGTTTCGTTATAGCGTTCACAGAAAAGGCCAACGATACTTGTGTGGCCGATTGAAACCGAGGAATGCCCCAATTTTATAAATTGAAACGATGGAAACCAAATTGCCTTTCCCTTTTTTTGGTAATTCCAATCTCTATCTCTATTGAAAGTATATAGAAAAGTAATATACAATTAATTACGTGTAAACAATATGAAGGAAGCCCAAACAATAATAATAAATGTACGAGTATAACAAAAAATTCCATATTGGAATTACCAGCAGTGTAAAAATGAAACATGAACCAATTTTTGTAATACAAAAACAGATATAATTTAGTTTGTGAAAATACTGTCAGAAAGGAGGGAACGTAAGGGTAAAAGGGAGCCAGTAGTGACCTAACTGGAGGGAGCCAGACGTCAGTCGAAGATCAGCCACGGGTGTCAGGCCGTTCGGTCCCTCTATCTCGTCTTGCCGTCTAAATCGGTTTAACCGAGCTCTCGTTAACTTCGTTATCGTTAATGCTCGTTGCAATGTAGCTAAGTGGCTGTTGCTGCCTCGAGCTGCACTGCCCTCGAGCCTCGCATCCTTCGCCAATTACTTTACTACCGTCGAACTCCTTACTCGATTAATTAATTAACGTAAGTTAATTTCAAAAGCAGCGTGTCTTCGATCTGTCCAGTCTGGCCACTGTCCCCCTACCGTCATGGCTCCGATTTTCTTCTAAACTTCCGAAATATACTTTCCGTTACTTTGGCTGAAAGTACTATCCGAAAGATTTTACTTTTTTAAATACTGTCAAATACTGTAAATCTGCAATTAAAAGTCTCCCGTAACTTTGAAAAGGTATATAACTAGCGTAGTAGCGAAAGCTGGCGTAAATCGAGGTGGTGGCGCTGCGAGCAGACGCCAGCGATACGCAGTTTTAAGGTTAACCCACGTGATACTTAATATTTCGCCTACTACAAAGGTTCAAGAACCCTGACGTATTGTTTCTAACATTTCCTTTGATAAATTCTATGCCAACGTAGTTTTTGAAAATTCCAAACACCCCGAGTATATCTTGAGATGCACTTATAAACGACGAGTGCACTTTACATGTGAATTTGTCAGCAGACCCTTCTTATGCGCGCGACGAGGGCGTGTTTTGAAGTTGAGGTAAACGCTACTCGCCTGTAAAGCGAATTTCTGATGAATCAAACCTGATGAACCACCAAAAACGAGCCACATTGTCGCTGGAAGTTCTCACTCGTAATCCCGTGATACTTGTATCGCTGGAAAGCTTAAACTCCCAAAGAGAAAACAACGTATCGTTTGAAAAATAAATAAAAAATAAATTTGAACCAATAATAAGAAAAAAAAAGATCGATATCTTTTTTCTCTTGTTTCTTTTAAAAATCGAACATCTTAAAAATACTGTTTTAAAATATTACATCAAGGTGAAATTTGTAACACCGATGAAGGTATAAAGTTTTTCGTAGAACGTATCCCAGCGATAAGTAATCGATCCTCGAACTTTAAACGCGTCTTTCTCGAAATTGGATTTTTCAAACTGGCGAGCAACTTTCCCCGGAAACTACTTATCCGATTAACATAAAACTTGAACTATACATTCGCAATAGCATTCTTCAGAAGGTACGATTTTATCTTCTAATAACTAAAAAACTAAAAAAAAAAAATTTTGTTATGTAAAATTTACGATGATTTGTTTCTTAAAAATCTCGCTGTTTTTAAAGAAATTAGTATATTTGGTTATTTAATTTAAAAAAATTCTATTCAATTCTAAAGAAATAGGATTTTCAAATGGTAAGTTGCTTTTTTTAAATGGGACCTGGTGTTTTTTATTGCATATTCAAATTGTACGTAATCGTTAGCATAACATTTAAAGTACTACATTTGTTTATGTATTTCCAGTAGTTGAGTTTTATAATTCAGCTGGAAGAGCTGGAAGTTATTTCATTAATTCACGACACTCTGCCAGGAAACGCACAACAGGAAAAACGGTCGTAATCTAGGCACACGTTTTCTGCATTCGACGAGTACGAATAATCCTCCGGTTGGCCCCGGCGCGGCTCTTAGGTGAGAAAGTTTTGATTTACGAGGCTCGTTCGATACCAATGGGCGCTTGCAACGGTACACTGGAAAAGTTTTCCGTGCGACCA